CATGCCCAGAATGCTGCAGGCATTTCCTCTCTGGATCGCAACACTGAGTCTCTGAAAGAGGAAGCTGGTCGCCCTGTGGTCCTTGGTTTCTATGATGAGCTTTTCACCCAGCTCTATTAGGAACTTTAGAGCACACTTGCCCCATGCTCCAAGGGTCTCCGACCCTATTGGGATGAAGTTATAGCAAGGGGAAGGTCTTCATATTTGCAGATCTTCTGGGTCTCCCTGTGGCTGGCAGCTCCACCCCCTTCCTCTATGGAGTATGGCAAGTAGGTGTCTGCCAATGTGGCAGCATATGTGTAGTCCCAGGCAATCTACTTTCCATCCTTCCAAGGTAGCATAGTGGCTCCATAAGGATGCTTTTGACTTCCATCAGACCTCTGCACTTGGGGTTCCCGTTGAGCTGGGCAACGGGCTGTGGCGAGGCTTCTCTTTATGATGTCATTGACCTCCTCATGCCTGGCATACTTCCCTTCTGCTGTGTGACACATGAGACCATGAAGTCCGAATTGATCAGCTGTCACCCTGCCGCAAATACACCTATGTTCGGTGAGGATGGGGGCGGCTAGGTGAAGAGCAACACCAATCCGAATGGCCTGTGGGTCTAGTCAAGTGCCCAAGGAGGAATTGGGAACAGCTAACAGGAAATCTCCTGAGTGTGGTGCCTTCACTGCCAGGAGACGAGCTTTGTCCTGAGGCATTGGAGAGCATTGTGTTGGCGATTTTTTCCATGATCGGTTTGTCTCAGTGGGACTGTTTGTGTTCTTTGGGAGGAGCTGGTCTACTGGAGGAATCTGTAAGGGTGTCCCTCCGAATCTCTACTTCAGTAAACCTGGGGTCTTGAGCTCCTACCACGTCTCTCAAGCGTTCGGGAACAATCTTCTTGACTAATACACTGGAAGCCAAACACGAAGACAGAAAAGCAGGTAAAGCAACATGCGTTTCTTTGCGCACACCTATACCTCCCAGTTGGACTGGGAGGGTTGCCTGATCCCATTGCTGATCCTCTAGTGACAGGTTCAGTGTCTTCTTAAGGGTTGACCTCAGGTGTGCGTCATATTCGTCGAGTGTTGGGTTGTCAAAAGAGGGTGCACACCTCAGGAAGTAAGTGAGTCTTGGAATAGTAAGGCACCTTGTGAGGAGATACAGAGCATCATGGGCATCAAGATTGCTTATTCTCTCCTCCATTCTCATCAGGTCATTCAATTTGTCCTTGAGGACTGTGTCGATTGCCTGGTGACCCAGCGGTGCTCCCAAGAGGGTATTGTTGGACAGAGTGGTAGTAGAGACTTCTGGGAGGATTCTTTGAACAGCATTGATTATTTCCTGGTTCGCTGTGATGATTTCACACTTGGAGGGATTGAGGATGAGTCCCAAGTCTTCTCCCTGTGTTTTCACCAGTTGTAGGTCCCCTACCAGGGACTCTTCAGTACCTGCCAGAGTGCCATCATCCAGGTACCAGATGTTGAGCTCGCTGCATAGGCTGGAAGTTAGTTCTCTTACTGCCAAGCAGAAGAGAAGTGGAGCTAGTGGGTCACCCTGCTGAACACCTTCTGATGAGAGAATTTCACGTTCTCCAAACAAAAGAATTGAGGGTTTCCTGTAGCCGGCTGAAGTGAAGGGAAAAAGACTGGGGAAGCGATCCCGAACAGCTGTCAAGACAGCATCTCTCTTTACCATATTAAAGGCATTTCTAAAATCAAGTTTGATTATGGCCTTGTCTTCTGGTAGGTCCCTGATGTAGGCCCTTGCCGCATGAGCTGCAACTTCACTGCCTTGAGGGACCCCAAAGCCCAGTTGGTGTGGCTGGAGTAAACTGGCAGCTTCTAGGCAAATGTTTCTTACTGCTGCTTTGGCAACGAGACGGCGAAGAGTGTTTCCAACCGCAATGGGTCTGATTCCCCCATCCTTCTTCAACGCACACAGTGAAGCTCCAAAAAAGAAAGGTTTAATTTCTTCTAGGATTCGCCCAGCCAGGCAGTTGTTGACGAAAGTTGTTAACTCGGTGAGAAGAAGTGATGCAGATGCACCGAGTACTGGATTTACCATCTCCTTGAGGTACTGAGGTCGAATTCCAGTGTAACCTCCTGCAGATCCTGCAGGAAATGACAAATCGCCTTATAGACTTCCGATTCAGGCAAAATTAATTGTTCAGTGATGGGGTCTTCCTCAGGGTTGTTGTTGATGGCTATGGTGTCCCTGGTTGGATGCTTGTCTCTTAGTGCTTGGGCTGTGGTCTCATCTTTGGGGGCTACAGTGTCGTCACTTGTAATTATTCCGATTGCTCCCACTGTGTTACCTTCTTCAGTTTTTTTGCTAACCTGTTTGCAAATTTTCTCGTTTTCAATGGGACTTTTCTTGGGTCTACCTTTGTGATTCCTGCGATGATGGGGCAGAGGGACACAATTATCCATTCTTGGGTAGTTGCGCACTGCCTTGATAACTGACGTGGTTAGCAGTTTTCCTCGTCTCTCAGAAACTGCAAGACAGACATTGCAGAACAGTAGCAGGTTGCACCATGCTTGGATGGTGCCTCTGGCTTCTAAGTTGGTGGAACTTCCATTCACCTGCTTAAGAAGGTCTGTGAATTTCCCTGCTGCATATGGGCGAGCCGCTTTAGGGATGTGGGATAGGGTACTGTTAGCAGTGGATATGAATGCCAACAGAAGGTTATCACAAGTGAGGAGGTTGCCATTGGAATTGTCATCTGCCTGTGGAGGCTGTGGGCTGCTCTCTGCTGGGGGCATATGTGATCCCGCACACCCATTGTGTGCACGAATGCGACCATCCCTGTTGCGTGCTCGAAACTCTCCGCACACCTGACATGTGCCTCTTCTTTCATTGTTGGGTGCACTGTTTCCCTGGCTTTGTGGCTGGCTGGCTTCATCATCTGCCATACCTCAAACTGTGTGGTAAGCCCAGGCTGAAGGGAAAATGGCGCATGGCACATACCGCATGTAGTTCATGGTGGTGGTAGGGGGAGGAGAGGGGTCTCCCCTCCTTGTGGTGGGCGGTGGAGGAAAGGGAGGAGTGGAAGATGTGTGATGAGGCGGAGTAGGGCACTCCCTCCCTCCCAGGACAAGTCACTATACACCACAATGCTCTGTGCACCTGTTACTATATGCTACTATGCTCTGTGCACCTGTTACTATACACCACTATGCTCTGTGCACAGCCCCCACTATAAACGACACGCCGCTATACACTACACGTGCTATGCGCATACCATGCTCATACTACGCACTATACACTATATACACTATACACACGGTGAACAAACACTTCATTGTTGTAACACGAGCACATGGTGTATGCGCGCCTGTTTGGGGAAGGGGAAGACACAGTTTTACCCCTCAACCTCCGCCGCCTCCTCCTCCTCCTCCATTAGGCCTTCCCTCACTGACCTCACCTACCCATGGTGACCGTTATGTTCCCTCACTGAATTCACATACACAACACCTTTCTTGATTCTGACACATTGCACTGCTGGCCTTGCTACTGGCAAGTCACAGTCGCTCCTCAAGTAGTGTCCCTGCGATCCCCGTTGGGGAGGGGAACCTCTACCTCGCCGATTACCCACATCAAGATCTCAAGATGAGTTACTCCAACAGAGTCAAGATTAAACCTACAAGTGGTTTGATCAACGACTCCACCAAGCTTGCCCTTGCTGTAACTGTCAGGGGCTTGAACATCAAGGTCAACGCGATCCTTTCCCTCCAAGAATCCTTCATCATCGTCTGTGAGGACGATGTAGAGGCCGAGAAACTACTGACTGGTAATGCCCTGACAACACTATAAGAACGTGGTTACAGAATCATGTCTTTCTGAAGCGCCTGGACAAGCTGATCACTTCTCAGACCATCGAAGACCTCAAACAATCTGTCGAAGACCAGAACCCTTGGGCCACCGTGGAAAACATTAACAAGATTCCCACGGCCTCTTCAATGCTCAAGATCACCTTTACTGACGTCACAATGGCTTCCCAAGCCATGGCTGAGGGACTAGCCATCTACTATTATTTTATCAACGCCTGTAACATTGAAGCTGAACGTTACCACCACGTCTCTCAATGCTGGACCTGTTTCTCTTACCTCCACTCAACAAAAGACTGCCCTACAAAAGACAAGAAATTCTGTTCCACCTGTGGTAATGAGGGTCACGACTCTAAGACATGCTCTTCCACTGCTACTCTCAAGTGTCTAAACTGCAAGAATAACCACCACACTCTCGCAGCAAAATGTCCTACCCGTCGTGATATCATCAAAAAGAACATAGAAGCAGATCAGAAGAAGTCTCCATTAAGATCACCCACGTATGCAGCTATCACAAAACTGCAGGCCGACACCACCAAACTCCTGAAATCATCCCAGCTCTCCACCACCAGTATCTCCACTCCAGCATGTGACTCAACAAAAATACAGTACTGCTTACTGTATGCTCACATGCACAACATAACAGCACCAGGCTCCTTCAACACTACCATCAACGAACTCTTCAAACTAAATAACATGCCGGCATTCACCTTCCCAGACTCTCCACCTTCTGCTGACATAATCAAGCTCACCCAAGCACCAGTAAACATTACCACTCCAATAACCACAACACAAGATACAACGCAAGATACATCAACAACAACAACAAGCTCCACCGCAGCCACCGACCAATCAGCAGCCATACCTGATCTACCCGAGACCGCCGCAACCTCTGTCGACCTTCACCTCGAATCTCCATCTCAGTCACCAATTGCAAAGAAAGCTAAATTACATCCACCTGTGAGTCGTCCACAAGAAACTACACACCCACTAGAAACAACGAGAGAAGACCGAAACACCCAAAATATAGCACCTATCACCCTGTACACATGCAGTCCGGAATTCAACACCGTGCATGCAGGCTAAGCTATATACAGCATAGGAAATGGCAGCATCAAGTACACTGTAGCACCAGGAACCGACCCACAGACCACCAACGCCATACTAGAAGACCTACGCATTGACAACATGCGCATTCTAAAACCTGTCATGCTCTCAAAATCAGCATATAGAAGAATTATAAACGGATCAATCACTCCATGGCATGATCGCACATAAGTCACGTGATCACTAGCTGCCGTCTCCTGCCTGCCTCTCGCCTCTCGCCAGTCTCCACCAATCACAAGCCAGTCAACACCTCGCGCTGATGAGATGGACATAGCCGTGCTCCCGTGTTACCTATCAAGCTTGCCTGTGTATCCTGACTCTCAAGCTCGCTCCTGCAAATTCCTTCCCGTTGAGCTCTGCTGCTGGGTCAAGCCCTGGCTCTTTCTCTAAGACTAAGGACACTCCTCTCAAGACCTACTCTTCGTCTGTCCAGTCTTCCCCGCTCACCCCTTCTTGGGGTCTTACCTAGAATCTATCGTATCGTATCGATTCTGAAGGAAGAGACGAAACGCAGAGTCTTCCGGCCCTTTCCAACACGAGCAGCAGATATTCACACACCAGCCTGTTGATAATAATCCTGGTAGGTGTTCTTTATATATATATATATATATATATATATATATATATAATATATATATATATATATATATATATATATATATATATATATATAATATATATATATCTACCAGGAGTAGCAGTCATTGCCCCCACAAACAGTGTCTTGCTAGGAGCACCTCTGGGAAGCAATGCCATTGACACAATTCTCAGGAAGAAATTGAAAGAGTTAAGGAGAATGGAACACCCACGATGCCTTGTACCTTCTCACAAAGTGCTTGAGTCTGCCCAGGTTGACATATTTCCTAAGATGTGCACCTTCATATGATAACCCTATACTGCACGAATATGACAGTATTCTGAGGCAGATTTTTACGAAAGTACTTAACATTACTCTAGAAGACGAACAGTGGAACCAAGCTACACTTCCAGTCAGACTAGGAGGCATTGCATTACCTGCTTTTCTGTCCTCGTGTATTGCACCCAGAGAGCTTGTAGCAGCGATTCTCCCTGAACATCTTAGGGACAAGATTGGAGTCCAGAACCAAAAATTCATTGACGGAGCAATGATCTGGGATAATCTAACGGGCTCTGAAACCAGACCTGCTCCCCCCAACAACTACAAACAAACGCACTGGGATGGTCCAATAGTGGAAAATATAGCCTCAACAATGCTTCAGAGTGTATCAGGGAAGGATAGAGCCTGCCTCCTGGCAGCGAGAGCCCCTCATGCTGGGGACTTTCTGTTGGCTGTTACCACCTCCAGTCTTGGAACACGCCTCGACCCACAGACCATCCCCATCGGTGTTGCCCTTCGACTTGCTGCCCCTATTCTCGCTGGCCAAACACAGGTGTATTTGTGGCAGTGAAGCAGCAGACCGATTCGTGTACCGTGGTCTTGTGTGCCGTAAATCCGAGGGAAAGATTGCAAGACATGAGGAGGTTAATAACATTATCAAGAGGAGCCTCACAACAGCTGGATGCCCAGCAGTAAGGGAGCCACCCCAACTATGCAGATCTGATGGCAGCCAGAAGCGTCCAGATGGTATCACCCTTCAAGCCTGGACAGATGGGAAGCAGGTGGTGTGGGACTATACATGTGCATCTACCTTGGCTGATACCTATCTCCAATACACCAGGGAGGAAGGAGGGGCAGCTGCCAGCTTCAGGAAGTCCCAAAAGCCTAGAAAATATGGAGAACTTGCCCATCATTATATGTTTGTTCCCATAGGCTCAGAGACCCTTGGCTCATGGGGAAAGAGTGCATCTAAATTCCTTAAGGAGCTGGGAAAAAGACTCATCAGGGTAACTAGGGATCCCAGGGCAGCTAGTTTTCTGTTCCAGCGGCTCAGTGCGGCTGTTCAAAGGGGTAATGCCTGCTGTATTTTGGGCACACGCCCCAGCTCTGAGGAGCTGGATGAGATTTTCGTCTTATAATCGGTGATACACACGTAACAACATGTACCTTATATGCCAACTTTATATCAACAATGTATCTCTTAAATCTTCTGCACCATATTATGTAATAAAATATTCCTATATACATTAACACCCCTCCTTCAGAGTGCAGGCACTGTACTTCCCATCTCCAGGACTCAAGTCCGGCCTGCCGGTTTCCCTGAACCCCTTCATAAATGTTACTTTACTCACACTCCAACAGCACGTCAAGTATTAAAAACCATTTGTCTCCATTCACTCCTATCAAACACGCTCACGCATGCCTGCTGGAAGTCCAAGCCCCTCGCACACAAAACCTCCTTTACCCCCTCCCTCCAACCTTTCCTAGGCCGACCCCTACCCCGCCTTCCTTCCACTACAGACTGATACACTCTTGAAGTCATTCTGTTTCGCTCCATTCTCTCTACATGTCCGAACCACCTCAACAACCCTTCCTCGTTATATATCTCTGTCTTAGACAGAGATGTATAATGTCACCATGGTTGTTTAATATATTTATAGAAGGGGTTGTAAAAGAAGTAATTGCTAGGGTGTTGGGGAGAGGGGTGGGATTAAATTATGGAGAATCAAATACAAAATGGGAGTTGACACAGTTACTTTTTGCTGATGATACTGTGCTTATGGGAGATTCTAAAAAAAAGTTGCAAAGGTTAGTGGACAAGTTTGGGAGGGTGTGTAAAGGTAGAAAGTTGAAAGTGAACATAGATAAGAGTAAGATAATGAGGGTATCAAATGGTTTAAATAAAGAAAAATTGGATATCACATTGGAGAGAGGGAGTACAGGAGAAATAAATGTTTTTAGATATTTGGGAGATGACGTGTCAGTGGATGGGTTTATGAAGGATGAGGTTAACCATAGAATTGATGAAGGAAAAAAGGTGAGTGGTGCATTGAGGTATATGTGGAGACAAAAAACGTTATCTATGGAAGCAAAGAATGGAATGTATGAAAGTATAGTGGTACTAACACTCTTGTATGGGTGTGAAACTTGGGTTGTAAATGCTGTAGCGAGGAGGAGGTTGGAGGCAGTGATGTCCTGTCTAAGGGTAATGTGTGGTGTAAATATTATGCAGAAAATTCGGAGTGTGGATATTAGGAGAAGGTGTGGAGTTAATAAAAGTATAGTCAGAGGGCTGAAGAGGGGTTGTTGAGCTGGTTTGGTCATTTAGAGAGAATGGATCAAAGTAGAATGACATGGAGAGTGTATAAATCTGTAGGAGAAGGAAGGCAGGGTAGGGGTCATCCTAGAAAAGGTTGGAGGGAAGGGGTAAAGGAGGTTTTGTGGGCGAGGGGCTTGGACTTCCAGCAAGCATGCATGAGCGTGTTAGATAGGAGTGAATGGAGACGAATGGTTTTTGGGACCTGACGAGCTGTTGGAGTGTGAGCAGGGTAATATTTAGTGAAGGGATTCTGGGAAACTGGTTATTTTTATATAGCCGGACTTGAGAACTGGAAATGGGAAGTACAATGTCTGCACTTTAAAGGAGGGGTTTGGGATATTGGCAGTTTGGAGGGATGTCATATATTTTTATAGTATATGCTTCTAAACTGTTGTATCTGGGCGCCTCTGCAAAAACGGTGATTATGTATGAGTGAGGTGAATGAGTTGAATGATGACGAAAGTATTTTCTTTTTGGGGATTTTCTTTCTTTTTGAGTCACCCTGCCTCGGTGGGAGACGGCCGACTTGTTGAATATATATATTATATATATATATAATAATATTATATATTATATTATATATATATATATATATATATATATAATATATATATATATATATATATATATATATATATATATATTCGTGGTAACTTTTGTAAGTTTTTGTTCATAACTTTATGTTTCTCTCAGTTACATTACTCCACAACTACGTATACTATGTGTATTATTTCCATGGACAACTTCTCATTTGCTATTTTATAGATATTTTTGGCAACAATTTCACTTTTTTTCAAGAATTTCTTTAGGATTTTGCTAATGAAATTACGATCATGTTGCAGTAAACATTATTAACATTATTGGTGTGTTCTTGTCAGCCTGGAAGGTGAGTGGAAGGACGCGAGGAACATTATGCTGGTAGAGACTTCTTGTAAGTCCCGACCAACCTACCGTGCCTGGTGTGCTGTTGAGAGGTGAGCAGGAGGTGGCTGCCTCCACACTATTTATTTTCAAAACAAATACTTTTTTATAATAATAATGATAATTATTATATATGTATCGGTTGACTTCGTACTCGGGAAATTTAACCATACTCTCCCCAGTGATCTCTGGCCCCCATCCCTGCGTATCTCACGAAAGAAACAATTGAGTTGAGTGTGGGAGTGAGTTGGAACGGTGTGGGAGTATGGTTGAGAGTTGGAGGGGTTTGGAAGCGAGTTGAAGGGTTGTTGGAGTTATTTGGGGAAAGAGGCAGTTGGAGAATTGTGGACGGGTGTGGAAGTGGAAGAGATCTGGGAGTTAAATGTGGAAGCGTGTTTGAGAAGTTTGGGAGTTGGTGTGTGATTGAATTAGGAGATTGAATGAGTTAGGGTGGGAGTGACTTGGGAGTTGGAGTGACTTGGGAGCTGATGTGAGTTGTAGGGTTTTGAGAGTGAGTTGGAGAGGGTTATGAGTTAGCTGGGGGTTGGCGTGAGTTGGAAGGGAGTGGGAGTTAGGGTGGGAGTAATTTATAATAATGTCTTTATTCCTACAAGTACTTGTGCAAGGTACACAGGCCTGGCTGACGTCAATGACACACTATATATATAGAAAGTCGCTTGTTATACTGAGCATTTCGGGCAAATTGGGTCACTTTTGTCCCGGGATGTGACCCACACCAGTCGACTAACACCCAGGTACCCATTATTACTAATAGGTGAACATGGACGACAGGTGTAAGGAAACACGCCAAGTGTCATTTGTTCAGGATTTTGCCGGGAATCGAACCCGGACCTTCACTGTGTGAAGCGAGAGCTTTTGCCACCAGGCCACGGGCCTGGTTCGGGAGAAAGTTGGGGTGGGAGAGTGATGAAGCTGTGGGAATGAATGCAAACTGTGTGATACATTTCAGGACGACTAATGGTGATTTTTGTTTGATTGTTTATTCTTCATTCAATAGTAGTTATTTTATAGATGAATGGCTCAGAAAACCGACACGTTGATAAATTAGACACATGTGCAACTCTTGGGTATCTTTATTGAGGAAACGTTTCGCCACACAGTGGCTTCATCAGTCCATACAAAGGAGAATCGTGAAGAACAGGAGAAGAATGAGGTAATCAGTCCCTCAACCTTGAGTCGATGTGGTCAGTACATCAATCTAGAATAGAACTGACTGACCACATCGACTCAAGGTTAAGGGACTGATTACCTCATTCTTCTGTTCTTCACGATTCTCCTTGGTATGGACTGATGAAGCCACTGTGTGGCGAAACGTTTCCTCCATAAAGATACCCAAGAGTTGCACATGTGTCTAATTTATCAGTAGTTATCTTGTCCTTTCTGCGTTATTTTCTTGAATATTGAATGTTTTTTTTATTTCTGTTTTCTGGTTTGGAAGATAAGTACTTTAAGCTAGCTGCAAAAACCTCCCGTGAATTCCCCCTATCTTAATTTTTCTTTCTTGTTTGCTCACCTAAGACAGATTACTTCCCATAGCATCCTGTAGTGTATCTTTCTTTAATTTGTCAGTTGTCTCACCTCTCTCCTTCCAGCATGGCGCAGCAGAATCCAGAAGCGAAGGTGTGGTACGTGATGACTGCACCAGCAGTGGAGGCGAGGGATGGCCTGCCTCCTCGTCTGCTACAACAGTACACCAACCTGCGGGTGGTCACCACCGACTTGTGGAGGATCTTTAACAACACCCCTCTCATGCCTCTTTACACCTCCGGGGCCTGGAACATCAACACCAGTACGTTCGCACCAACAAGAGCAAATGGAGAGAATATTGGTGGCATAAATAACAATATAAGTGGGTTTTGATGACAACAATAGTAGTAAAATAAGAGAGAGAATGCCGTTGCAGCTATCACAAAGACAAAACTAATATAGAGAAAATATCTGATACAATGCTATCAGTATGGTGCCAATACCTGGAGTATACCTGGAGATGGCTTCGGGGATCAACGCCCCGAAACCTTGATCAGCGAGTTTATTACTGCTGGTCACACGTAAACTGACATGCAAACCACAGCCAGGTTGGTCAGGTACTGACTTTAGGTGCCTATCCAGCGCCTTCTTGAAGACAGCCAGGGGTCTATTCGTAATCTCCCTTATGTATCCTGGGAGGCAGTTGAACAGTCTTGCGCCCCTGACACTTACTGTGTTGTGTCTTAGCGTGCTCGTGGCGCCTCTGCTTTTCATTGGGGGCAATGCTGCATCTCCTGCCCAGTTTTTTGCTCTCGTAGGGAATGATTTGGGACTAGTCCCTCTAGGATTTTTCAAGTGTATATTATCATGTACCTTTCTCGTCTGTGTTCTAGGGAGTGCAAATCAAGTTACTTCAACAGTAATTTAGATGCTTTATCATACTTATACGTGCCGTGAAAGTTCTCTGTACATTCTCCAGGTCTGCAATACCTCCTGCTTTGAAGGGGACCGTTAGTGTACAGCAATATTTCAGCCTAGAGAGAACAAGGGATTTGAGGAGAATCATCATGTGCTTGGCATTCCTAGTTTTGAAGGTTCTCATTATCCATCCCATCATTTTCCTAGCAGATGTTGTAGATATATTGTTGTGATCTTTGAAAGTGAGATCCTCTGACATTATTACTCTGAGGTCCTTCACATTAGTTTTTCGCTCTATTGTGTGACTGGAATTTATTTTATACTCCGATACACTTTTAATTTCTTCTAGTTTTCCTTATCGGAGTAATTGAAATTTCTCTTCATTGAACTTTATATTGTTTTCCGCTGCTCACGTAAAGATTTGGTTGATGTCCGCTTGGAGTCTTTCCGTGTCTTCGATGGATGACACTCTCAAGCAAATTCGGGTGTCGTCCTCAAAGTATAAGTAAGACACAGTGTTGTGGCTTACGTCTCTGTCTATGTCAGATATGAGGATAAGGAACAGGATGGGGACGAGTACTGTGCCTTACGGAACAGAACTTCTCACTGTGGCTGCCTCAGACTTTACTGTTTACTATTAGCCTTTGTGTTCTATTTGTTAGGAAGTTATAGATCCGTCTACCAGCTTTTCTCGTGGAGTTCCAAGACTACATCAGCGATACAAACAGTGAGGACAATAACCACATGTCGACATCATTATTACTGGAAAGACCCACTGTAGTTGTGAATGCAGTCGACAATCATCCGCCTAATAGCAGAAGATTAAGACCGCAATAGAAAGAAGGCAATAGAGACATAGTAGTCACTATAGAAGATAAGGCAACGAGCCTACAGGGCAAAAGGGAAATCATTGATTATGGAACACTTGACCAAAGGAACATAAACTGGGAGTAATGAGACCCACATGGGAAACCTGACTCGTTTCAGACTGATGGGGGAACATTTAATGCACTGAGTAGGTATGTATTCACATAACGAGCACAAGACTAACTCCGTTCTTGCAGTCACCTTTACCACCTGTAAGGAATGAGTGGTGGTATACAACTCTATAGTGACTGATGACTGTTAAGGTGCTGTAGCATTCTGATTTGTCAGGCATTAGTTTGCAGGTAGATACTGATTACTTTTTCAGTGATATTCGTTCAGCCAATAAGTCTTGGGCTGCTAGATGGTACACAAATTAGTGTAACTTCTGGTTCTTTGTGATATTTTATGTTCATTCTTTACTGAGTTGACTTGTGTTAAAAAATTCATACATTTGTGAATATAGTACATAGCGATTTGGTGAAGGAAGAATATATATCACACAGGATATTTTTGGGCCTAACTTCTTTCCTTATTGAGATATTTGTGATTGTTATTGGCCGTTGCATCAGAGGTACTGAAGTCCATGTAAGGGAGTGCTTGAGAACTCCATGTTCTAACACATGAAGAAGACAACGAGAGAGAGAGAGAGAGAGAGAGAGAGAGAGGAGAGAGAGAGAGAGAGAGAGAGAGAGAGAGAGAGAGAGAGAGAGAGAGAGAGAGAGAGAGAGAGAGAGAGAGAGAGAGAGAGAGAGGGAGGGAGGGAGGGAGAGAGGGAAGTGGATCAGTCAACAAGCCAAAAACCTGCTCACATATGAGGCCTCAGATGGAGGTGATCAAAAATGAATCTCTCAGTGGTGACCTGTACTTAACTCAGTAGTGACCTGTACTTGAGTGGTGACCCGTACTTAACTCAGTGGTGACCTGTACTTGAGTGGTGATCTGTACTTAACTCAGTGGTGACCTGTACTTAACTATGTGAAGACCTGTCTTTTGTGCTCTCTGTGAATCTGAACAAGATGTCCACTCTTGAGCAACTCTACCAGCAGCTAAAGGAAGAACTGAGGATGGTTAATCTTGAGATACAGCGACTGACTGAGGAAAACAAGAAGATTCGTAGTAATCCTCCTGTTAAGAATCCTCAAGCCAAGAAAGGAACCTTGATAGTGGTTGGAAAGCATGGGACAAAGTTAAGGATCAAGAGGACGGACGAAGAGGTAGAATCAACGAAGATCATAGAAACTGTTGTGGAAACATCGAACCCATTCTCCGTGCTACTCGATGAATGTGAGTCGACTACTGGGAACATCACGACGAACGATGCCAAGGAAAGTATAAACATTGTTGTTCTTGGGGATAGCCAGGTTAGGTACATGGATAGGGCCTTCTGCTTGAAGGATAGGAGTAGGAGACAGTGGGTTTGCTTTCCTGGGGCTAAGATGGAGGATATTGTTAGCTGGCTTGACAACATCATGAATGGTAATGGGATCAATCCTATTATCTGCCTCAGTGCTGGAGACAATGATGTAGGCAAGCGCAGAAGTGAGGATTTAGTTAGAAGGTACAGGACAGCAATAGACATAATTAGGAAGAAGTGGTGGCCTCCCTGTTATATATGGCATTTTGCCAAGAACAGGTGTTGGAAATTAATGGTTGTCAAGAGCAATTGGTATTAATTGCTGGCTGGACAAACACTGTAAGGAAAATGTAGTACCATTCATTGACAACTGGGACCACTTCTATGTCCGAAATGACATGTATGCCAGGGAATGGGTTCACTTATCCAAGGCAGGTGTGGGTTTTCTTGCTAGCTCAGTTGAGGGTGTTGTTAGGACTTTAAACTAGAAATGGTTAGAGGTATGGGTTTAGAAAGGGAAAATAATGAGTGCCGAAATATAGATTTAGGCTTTCAAATCATAAATCTTAACAATAACAAGGACAGTAATAGGTATAGTGGAATAACAGAAAGGAGCAGGAAAAGTAAAGAGAAAGGAGGGTCCTTAAACATATATTCCACAAATAGTCGTAGTGCTAGGAATAAGATGGACGAGTTGAGATTAGGTGCTAGTTCAGGTAACATTGATGTATTTGCCATAACTGAGACGTGGTTTAATTTGAAAAGATGGGACATGCCTGCGGAATATCACATTCAGGGTTTTAAATTGTTCCAAGTATATAGAAGTATCGGGAAGGGGGGTTGGGTGACACTGTATGTCCGAGATCGCTTGAACTGTTGCATAAAAATGGGTATTAAGTCTGAAGTAACACAGAGTCTGTCTGGACTGAATTTTCAGAGTGGTATGAAAAATTTATTCTTGGAGTGATGTACCGTCCCTTAAAATTAGATAAGGACGAAGGGAGACTACTACTGGAGGAAATTGTTAAGGCCACAAGGCACGATAACGTAGTAATTCTAGGAGACTTAAACTTTAGTCAGGTTGATTGGAATTTCTTGACTGGGAATTTAGAATCTAATGACTTCTTAGAAGTAGTTCAGGTTTGTTTTCTGAAGCAGTTTGACAGAACCTACAAGGGGAAATAACCTGCTTAACTTGGTTCTGGCAAACAAAGAAACCCTTGTTAATAATTTAGAAATTGCAGAGGAACTCGGCACAAGCGATCACAAATCAATTACCTTCAGCATTGAATGGAAGTATGATAGTAGGGATAACTCAGCAACAGCTCCAGATTTTTGCTTAGCAGATTACAATGGGCTTAGAGAACACTTATCATCTTTGGACTGAGTTAACAAAGAGAGCTATCAGTATAACAGCTTTCTTAACGCAATACATGCTGCCCAAAGAACATTTATCCTGTATAAAGAAATTAGATCGAATAGAAATGACCCAAAATGGATGAAAAATAGGCTCGAATATCTTTTAGGACAGAAAAAAAGGAATTTATAGGCGTATCAAAAGAGGTGAGGGTCATCTTATGAATCAGTATATTGACATTAAGAGGGACGTTAAAAAGGGGATAAGAAAAGCTAAAAGGGACTATGAAATTAAAGTTGCCAGGGATTCGAAAACTAACCCAAAAAGTTTTTTCCAGGTTTATAGAACAAAAGTTAGAGATAAGATAGGTCCCCTTAAAAATAACTATGGGCATCTCACTGACAAGGAGGATGAAATGTGCTCTATTTTTAACATTTACTTTCCCTCGGTTTTCACTCAGGAAGACATTGACAATATCCCAGTAATTAATTTTTATAGTGGACCTGAAGACGATAAATTATGCAATATCAGTCACTAGCAATATGGTTATCAAACAGATAGACCGATTGAAGCAAGATAAATCCCTGGGCCATGATGAACTTTTTTCAAGGGTTCTTAAAGAGTGCAAGATGGAAATTTGTGAACCATTGACTAATATTTTTAATATTTCTTTTCAAACAGGTGTAGTGTCTGATATGCGGAAGATGGCTAATGTAATTCCTATTTTTAAAACAGGGGACAAGTCGCTACCGTCAAATTACCGCCCAATAAGCCTGACCTCATTTGTAGGCAAATTACTAGTGTCTATAATAGCCGATATCATAAGAAGCCGTCTGGATAAGCATAACTTGATTAGTGATACTCAGCATGGATCCACGATGGGCCGTTCTTGCCTAACTAATTTATTAACCTTCTTCAGTAAAGCTTTTGAGGCCGTTATCATGATAAAGAATTCGATATTGTTTATTTAGATTTTAGTAAGGCTTTTGATAGAGTACCACACAAGAGACTGTTAAAGAAAGTGGCAGCTCGTGGCACTGGGGGAAAAGTGCTGTCATGGATCGAGTCATGGCTCACAAATAGGAAGCAGAGAGTATGCTTAAATGGGGTTAAATCCAAGTGGGGATCTTTAACAAGTGGCGTTCCACAGGGATCAGTCTTAGTCCCGTTGTTGTTTATAATATATATCACTGATCTTGATGAGGGAATTACTAGTGACATGAGCAAATTCTCCGATGACACAAAGATAGGTAGGATAATTGATTCAAACGAAGATGTCACGGAACTTCAGGAGGATTTAGACAAACTCAATTACTGGACAGAAAAGTGACAGATGCAATTCAATGTAGATAAATGCAAGGTATGGATATATTGATTTAGGCGTTGATATTATGAATCTTAATAATAACTGTCATGAAATAACGCTGGGTAATGATAATTTCAGTAAATGTGTGAAAGTAAAGGTAGATAAGAAAAATGTGCAGAAGAAAAAGCATATGATGGTATTTTATGCTAACAGTCGAAGTGCAAGAAATAAAATTAATGAACTACGTTTGGTAGCATGTGCTGGGAACTTTGATGTCATTGCATTAAGTGAAACGTGGTATGATTTAAAGAGTCGCGATATGATTGCTGAGTGTAATATTAAAGGGTTTAAGTAGTTTCAAGTGGATATATGTAATGGGAAGGAGAGAGGAGTTGCATTAAATGTTCGAGAAAATATTAATTGTTGCATAAAAACAGGTATAAAAATAGATGGAATAGTAACAGAATCTGTTTGGGTAGAGTTTGTAGAGGGTCAAGAAAAACTAATTCTAGGTGTAATATACCGACCTCCAGGCTTGGATCACGATAGAGGGAGACTTCTTTGGGACGAAGTTGTTAGTGCTTCTAGACACAATAACGTAGTAATAGTAGGAGATTTTAACTTTAGTCAAATTGACTGGAATTCTCTTACCGGTAATCTGGAGTCCAGTGATTTTATGGAAACAGTTCAGGACTGTTTTCTGAAGCAGTGTGTAACAGAGCCTACAGGGGATAATAATTTGCTAGACCTAGTCTTGTCAAATAAGGAAACACTCGTAAATAATCTGGAGATCACTGAAGAGCTTGGCGCAAGTGATCACAAATCCATCACTTTTAGCATTAACTGGGAATGCAAGAATAATGATAATACGGTAAAAATAATTGATTTTCGTTCTGCCGATTACAATGGACTTAGGGAACACCTGTCTAATCTCGATTGGGGTTATCTAGCTAATGATTTTATTGACGATGATCATGCTTATGATTTTTTTCTTAATAATGTACACCGTGCTCAGAGTATATACATTCCCCAAAGAGAAATTAGGTCTAATAATAACGATCCCAAATAGGTTAACAGGAGGTTAAAGCATCTATTTGGGGAGAAAAGGGGGAATTTATAGGCGCATCAGAAGAGGAGAGGTTAACCTTACTGACCAATATGTTCAGCTTAAAAGAGAAGTAAAAAATGGGATTAAAAAGGCTAAACGTGACTATGAACTTAGGGTTGCTAATGAATCAAATACCAATCCAAAACGGTTCTTTAAAGTGTATAGGACGAAGTTGAAGAAAAAAGTAGGACCTCTGAAAATTGGGAATAGACAGCTGACGGATAACGAACTGGAAATGTGTTCCTTATTTAATGACTATTTTTTGTCGGTTTTTACACAGGAAGACACAAATGAGATTCTAGAAATTAACAATTTTTCAGTTCCTGATGAATTCAAATTAACTAATATTACTGTCACGAAAGACATGATTATCAAACAAACAGACAAATTGAAGCAAAATAAGTCCCCAGGGTCCGACGAGTTGTTTTCCAGGGTACTTAAGGAATGCAAGATGGAACTTAATCAACCATTAACGAGTGTGTTTAATGCATCCATCCTTACTAGTGTTGTGCCAGAGTTGTGGAAGATGGCTAATGTGGTTCCTATATTCAAATCAGGGGATAAGTCCACTCCTTCCAATTATCATCCAATAAGCCTGACATCTATAGTGGGAAAGTTATTAGAATCAATTATAGCTGACATTATTAGAAGTCACCTTGAAGAGCATAATTTGATTAATGAATCTCAGCATAAGTTCACAAGAGGTCGTTCCTGCCTGACAAATTTACTGACGTTCTTCAATAGAACATTTGAGGCGGTAGACAGTGATAAAGAATATGATATTGTTCATCTGGATTTTAGTAAAGCCTTCGATAGAGTACCTCACAAGAGACTCTTAAGAAAGGTGGCAGCTCATGGTATAGGAGGTAAAGTTCTAACATGGATAGAGGCATGGCTTACCAACAGAAAGCAGAGTTTCCATTAATGGGGTCAAATCTGAATGGGGATTAGTCACTAGTGGTGCTCCACAAAGATCAGTTTTAGGCCCTCTCATGTTCATAATTTACATTAATGACCTTGATGAAGGGGTGTCCCGACTTTTTGAATTAAACCATGTCTCATTTATGGCAAATACATCAATGTTACCTACACTAGCAACTAATCTCAACTCTTCCATCTTATTCCTAGCACTACGGCTATTATCATAATGTATATATTTAAAGACCTTCCTTTTTCTTTACCCTTCTTGCTCATTTCTGTTTTTCCATTAAACCTATTACTGTCCTTGTCACCTAGTGCCACTGGCTTTCCAATATCCACCTCATTCTGCCTATTACTAGTTCACCTAGAACTCATAATGTTACTACACTGGGACTTCATTGTTTTCATGCCAAAACCCATACCAATAACTATTCCTAGTTTAAAGCCCTAACAGCTCCCTCCACCGCAGTTACAAGTGCCCCCACCCCAGACCTGGATAAGTGAATCCCATCCCTGGCATACAGGTCATTTCTGCCATTGAAGAGGTCCTAGTTGTCAATGAATGTTACTGCTTTTTCCTTAAAGTATTTGTCCAGCCAACAATTGACACCAATTGCCTGGACAACCATTCATTTCCAACTCCTCTCCTTGGCAAAATACCACATATGACAGGGTTCCCACCCTTCCTCCTAATTATCTCTATTGCTGACCTATACCTGCTAATCAGGTCCTCACTCCTACATCTGCCAACATCGCTGCCTCCAGCACTGAGACAGATAATAGGATTGTTCCCATTACCTCTCATAATGTCATCCAGACAGCTAACAATATCTTTCATCCCAGCCCCAGAAAAACACACCCTCTGCCTCCTACTCCTATCCTTCAAGTAGAAGGCCCTATCCATGTACCTAACCTGGCTATCCCCAACAACAACAATGTTTTTACCTTCACTGGCGTCGTTTGTCGTGATGTTCCCAGTAGTTGACTCACATTCATCAGGTAGCACGTAAAATGGGTTCGATGTTTCCACAACAGTTTTCTGGATCTTCGTTGATTCTACCTCTCCATCCATCCTCTTGATCCTTAGCTTTGTTCCATACTTTCCATCCACCGTCCAGGTTCCTTTCTTGGCTTGAGGATTCTCAACAGGAGGATTACTACGAATCTTCTTGTTTTCCTCAGTCAGTAGCTGTGTCTCAAGCTTAGCCATCCTCAGTTCTTCCTTTAGCTGCTGGTAGAGTTGCTCAAGAGAGGGCATCTTGTTCAGATTCACAGAGAGCACACAAGACACGCCATGTTCTTATTACATTAGCTATATCTTGTGGGTCTTTACCTAATACTAACAGAGCACTGTCATCCGCATACAGTAGGAGTTTGCACTTGGCACTGAAGGGCATGTCATTTACATAACTTAGAAATAATAAGGGACCCAGAATACTACCTTTGGGAACTCCATATGCTGTCGGTAGGGGTTCTGATTCTATTTTGTTGATTTTGACAATTTGTTTCCTATTGCTTGGAACCTATGCTGATAGCTTGAAGTTTCTTACGTAATATATTTTGGTTGACAGTATCGAAGGCCTTTTGCAAGTCTGAGGTTACTATTCCTATGAGGTTCCCTATCGACATTTCATTTCTCATATAATTCATCAGCTTAATTAGGGAGGTGTCGGTTGAGTAAGAGCTCCCAAAGCCTGATTGGCAACTATAAAGAATGTTGTTGTCATTAATATACTTAACTACTTGACAGTACAGCGTCCTCTCCAGAATTTTGGAAATTACACTGATTATACTGTGTGTGGTGTTGGTAAGGTGCTGGAGAGTGAGAGTGACGAAACATGTAACTAACATTGATGGTGGCGTTGCGGGTGATGCCTTGTGTGGGTAGTGATGGATAATATTTTTTCTGTATCAGAATGGCCGGCGGTCAACCTAAGTAATATGGTGAGATTGGCTTTGGTGTGGAGGGTCGGGGGCTTCTACAGCGACACCGACGTTGTGTGCATCTCCTCTCTGGCCACCCTCAGGAACGTGGTGGGCTTCCAGTTAAAGAACGAGATCAACAATGCAGTGTTCCACTTCGACCGTCACCATGATCTCATGAAACTCATGATGACTCACTTCATTCAAGGTTTTGAAGTAAGTATATATACATAGTGTCACTGGATCTAATCTCGCCTGGCTGCAGATCGGAAAATGTATATATATACATATATATATATATATATATATATATATATATATATATATATATATATATATATATATATATATATATATATATATATATATATATATATATATATACACACACACACACACATATCTCTAGAACTGGACTGGGGACGCTCATCCTCAGAGAAGACAATAAACGTACCTCAGGAAACACTCAAGGTTCTCCCAGGAGCTGCTTGAATATTTTCTTCTCCTACCACCCCCTATATTTTAAAGCTACATGAGAACTTTATTAATAGACAGAATACATTGATAGAAAACTCAAACATGAATACATTGTTACAATATATCAAAGGTTATGAATCTCCTCCAGCTTTTATGAAGCTGGACGCGAGCCAAGTATGCAGCATGAATTTTCCTTCTGGATGGCCATGCTGAGGCGCTGGAACATGAAAGTGGCTGCCCTTGGGTCCCTGGTTGTGTCGATGAGTCTGGAACCCAGTTCTTTAAGGAAACGTGTGGCATGTTTTTCCCATGATCCCAAGGTCTCTGATCCCACTGGGACAAATTGACATTGTTGGCTTATGTCTTGTACTTGCCGATCATGTACTCCTCCCTGTGGTCAGCAGCTCCTCTCTGTCGCCCAGAGAGGACACAGGTATAGTTCCATACTAAGAGCTTACCATTCTTCCAAGGATAGATGGTGATCCCTTTGGGGCAGTTTGCTGGGTTGTGGGTATTGTTGGCTGCTAGTGACTGAGGCTCACTCTCAGCTGGGCATCCAGCTGTAGCAAGGGTTCTCTTTATGATGTCGTTGACCTCATTGTGTCTTGCATGCCAGCCCTTGGTTTTGAAACAGTTAAGACCATGTAGACCATATTGGTCAGCTTGCGCATCGCCGCAAATACACGTATATTCCGTGTGAACTGGGGCAGCAAGGCGCAGAGCCACTGCAACACGGAGGGTCTTAGGGTCGAGGCGCGTTCCCATTGCCGATATGGAAACAGAATGGACATAAATTCGTTAGAAAACATTCAGCGTAGAATGACTAAATTAATACATAGCATTAGAAATCTTCCTTATGAAGAAAGATTGAAGACTCTTAAATTACATTCACTTATTACACGAAGAATGAGGGGAGACATGTTCGAAGTGTATAAGTGGAAGATGGGTATTATTAATAAAGAGGATATAAATAAGGTCTTGAGGATATCTCTGCAAGAGAGAACCCACAATAATGGAGTCAAATTAGACAAATTTAGATTTAGAAAGGATATAGGAAAGTATTGGTTTGGAAATAGGGGTTCTGACCAATCCAAAAGGGTTCTCGACCAATCGAAAAAGGTTCTGACAAATCCAAGGGGGTTCTTTCAATTGTATAGGACTAAGGTGAAGGAAAAAGTAGAACCTCTGAAAATTGGGAATGGACATCTGATGGATAACGAACTGGAAATGTGTTCCTTATTTAATGACTATTTCTCGTCAGTTTTTACACAGGCAGACACAAATGAGATTCCAGAAATTAACAATTATTCAGTTCCTGATGAATTCAACTTAGCTAATATTGCTGTCACGAGGGATATGGTTATCAAACAGATAAACAAACTAAAGCAAAATAAGTCCCAGGGGCCCGACGAGTTGTTTTCCAGGGTACTTAAGGAATGCAAGATGGAACTTAGTCAGCCATTAACGAGTGTGTTTAATGCGTCCATCCTTACTGGTGTTGTGCCAGAGTTGTGGAAGCTGGCTAATGTGGTTCCTATATTCAAATCAGGGGATAAGTCCACTCCTTCAAATTACCGTCCAATAAGCCTGACATCTAAAATGGGCAAGTTATTAGAATCAATTATATATGACATTATTAGAAGCCACCATGAAGAGCATAATTTGATTAATGAATCTCAGCATGGGTTCACGAGAGGTCGTTTCTGCCTGACAAATTCACTGACGTTCTTCAATAGAACATTTGAGGCAGTAGACAGTGATAAAGAATATGATATTGTTTATCTGGATTTTAGTAAAGCCTTCGATAGAGTACCTCACAAGAGACTCTTAAGAAAAGTGGAAGCTCATGGTATAGGAGGTAACGTTCTATCATGAATAGAGGCATGGCTTACCAATAGAAAGCAGAGAGTTTCGATTAATGGGGTCAAATCTGAATGGGGATTAGCCACTAGTGGCGTTCCACAAGGATCAGTTTTAGGCCCTCTCTTGTTCATAATTTGCATTAATGACCTTGATGAAGGGATTACGAGTGACATGAGCAAATTTGCTGATGATTCAAATATAGGCCGTACGATTGATTCTGAGAGGATAGTAATGAACTCCAGGAGGATTTGGAAAAATGGTCTGAAAAATGGCAGATGAAGTTCAATGTGGATAAGTGTAAGGTACTAGTCCTTGGTAATGAAAATAACCCTCGAAGCTATAAACTAGGTGAAGTAGAGCTTGATCATACAGAATGTGAAAAAGACTTGGGAGTCATGGTAAGCAGAAATCTAATAAATTAGACACATGTGCAACACTTGGTTATCTTTATTGAGGTATTCTTTTCAAGGCTGATGGACTGACCACATCGACTCAAGGCTGAGGGACTGATTAACTCAAACTCCTCCTGTTCTTCCCTGTTCTCCTTTGTGTGGACTGATGAAGCCACTGTGTGGCGAAACGTTTCCTCAATAAAGATACCCAAGTGTTGCACATGTGTCTAATTTATCAACTTGTCGATTCTCTGAACCATTCAGCTACAAGTAGAAATCTAAAGCCAAGACAGCAGTGCCTAAGTGTGCACAACAAGGCTAACAGATTACTAGGATTTATCTCAAGATGTATAAGTAACAGAAGTCCAAAAGTTATTTTACAGCTCTTTACATCACTCATTTAGATTATGCTGCTCAGTTTTGGTCTCCTTACTACAGGAAGGATATAGACTAATTGAAGAACATACAGAGAGGGCTATGGACACTCCCAAGATTTAGAAACTTCCATTTATCTACATTGAGCACCTAATTAGCAGGTATAGTTCATCAATAGAAATAATTAGGAAGAAGGGTGGGAATCCTGTCATATGTGGTATTTTGCCAAGGAGAGGAATTGGAAACGAATGGTTGTCCAGGGCAATTAGTATCAATTGCTGACTGGACAAATACTGTAAGGAAAATACTGTAACATTCATTTACAACTGGGACCTCTTCCACGGCAGAAATGACATGTATGCCAGGGATGGGGTTCACTTATCTAGGTTGGGGTGGGGGCACTGGCAACTGCAGTGCAGGGAGCTGTTAGGGATTTAAACTAGGAATAGTTAGTGGTATGGGTTTTGGCAGGAATACAATGAAGTCCCAGTGTAGTAAGATTATGAGTTCTAGGGGAACTAGTAATAGGCAAAATTAGGTGGATATTGGAAAGTCAGTGACACTAGGTGACAAGGACAGTAATAGGTTTAGTGGAAAAACGTAAATGAGCAGGAAGGGTAAAGAGAAAGGGGGGTCTTTAAAAATATATTATGCTAATAGCTGTAGTGCTAGGAATAAGATGGATGAGTTGAGATTAGTTGGTAGTGCAGGTAACATCGATGTATTTGCCATCACTGAGACATGGCTTAATTCCAAAAGTCGGGACATGCCTGCGGAATGTCACATTCAGGGTTTTAAATTGATCCAAGTAGATAAAAGTATCGGGAAGGGGGTGGGGTAGCACTGAAAGTCCGTGATCGCTTGAACTGTTCCATAAAAACGGGTATTAAGTCATAAGTAACACATACAGAGTCTGTCTGGAGAGAATTTTCAGAAGGGCATGAAAAATTTATTCTAGGAGTGATATACCGTCCCCCAAACTTAAATAGGGACAAAGGGAGATTACTATGGGAGGAAATTATTAAGTCACAACGCATGATAATGTAGTAATTCTCAGGGACTTTAACTTTAGTCAGATTAATTGGAATTTCTTGACTGGGAATTTAGAATCAAATGACTACTTAGAAGTAGTTCAGGACTGTTTTTTGAAGCAGTTTTGACAGAACCTACAAGGGGAAATAACCTGATTGACTTGGTTCTGGCAAACAAGGAAACCCTTGTTAATAATTTAGAAATTACAGAGGAACTCGGCACAAGCGATCACAAATCAATTACCTTTAGCATAGAATGGAAGTATGACAGTAGGGCTAATTCAGTAATGGTCCCATATTTTCACTTAGCAGATTACAATGGGCTTAGAGAACACTTATCATCTGTTGACTGGGGTAACGAAGAGAGCTATCAATATGACAGCTTACTAACACTATACATGCTGCCCAAAGAACATTTATTCCATATAAAGAAATTAGATCGAATAAAAATGGCCCAAAATGGATGAATAATAGGCTCAAATATCTTTCAGGGCAGAAGAAAGGAATTTCTAGACTTATCAAAAGAGTTGAGGGTCATCTTATGAATCAGTATATTGACATTAAGAGGGACGTTAAAAAGGGAATAAGTAAAGCTAAAAGGAATTATGAAATTAAAGTTGCTAGGGATTCAAAAACTAACCCAAAAAGTTTTTTTCAGGTGTATAGAACAAAAGTAGAGATAAGACAGAGCCCCTTAACAATAACTACAGGCATCTTACTGACAAAGAGAACGAAATGTGCTCGATTTTAAAAAATATTTTCTCTCGGTTTTTACACAGGAACACACTAACAATATCCCAGTAATTAATTTTATAGTGGGCCTGAAGAAGATAAATTATGTAACGTCACAATCACTAGTGAAATGGTTATAAAAACAAATAGACCGACTGAAACAAAATAAATCGCCGGGTCCTGAGGAGCTTTTTTCAAGGGTTCTTAAGGAATGCAAAACGGAGCTCTGAGAACCATTGACAAATATTTTTAATTTATCTCTTCAAGCAAGTGTAGTGTCTGATATGTGGAAGATGGCTAATGTGGTTCCTATTTTTAAAGCAGGAGACAAGTCGTTATCTTCAAA